AGCGAGGCTGAGGTGTGCCGGAGATTCCCAGCTCTTAGGTCTGTGGTAGCTGGTGCCGCCTTCTGCCTTTCATGATCGCTTTATCCTTTCGGTGTTTATAAAAACATGGCATTAGTCAGTTTAATCGCGCCAACTCGTTTTATCTAGCAGAGCAGACTAACTGAGAGCACCTTCCATACACCCAGGTAGGGGAGGTTCGGCTAGGCAGGTAAAAACACACGACTAGGGAAACGAAGCCCCGAACAGTATATTACAGTTCACTTCCCGAAGCCCTAAAATTAATGGGAAGTTTGGAAATAGAATAACTGGTGTCTGAAAGGGCTGTTAAAAATCTGCCCGTCCCCTCACTACTCTACGCAGCGTTTTGGCAACGTCTCGCTGTGATTTCGCTATCATTAAATCTTTGTGTGGCCGTTAGCTCACTTTAAGTACCCCGAAAGACCAGCGTGTTCTGGGAAGGCAGTGCCTGCTATTAGCCTGTACAAGCAGGGCAGCAGTTATGAATTAACAGCAGGCTGAGGATATGTTTAAAAAGTTAGATGCATCTAATTTTTTTTCCTTCTTCGGTGTACCACAATGAGTGGCTACCCTTTGTTGAAGCAGTAGAAATTAATAAAATGCGAGGGGAAAATATATGATTGTTTGGCCATGTTGTTTGTAGAAACACATTTTTTGAAGAGAATAAACTGCAAAAATGTTTATTTTGTCTAGACTTCTTTCTCTTGTGACTTAGGAGTATTCCCACATCAGCTTAACAAAAGAAGGTCACAAATGGGATACCTGTTTCAGAAAATCATAGTGAAGCTCAGCTGCTCTTGAGGCTCTTCATTGTTTGTAGGCAGAGGGTTATATGTAACTACAGAGGGTGGTATTTTTAAAATAATATTTTTCCCATGTGTTCCAGTTGTCTTTTGTTCATGTATTATATTTGAGTGGAAGGCATACTAAAATGCCTGCTAGTATGGTGGTAAAGTATTTATAAAACAAATTCTGACAATTACCATAATAGGACTTTTTGTATTTTAAATTGTTTAGAAATAAACAGCAGGAGCAGATTGTTACATAGTGTCTTTTAAAAAGTAAATCCAAGGCATGTATCATATATCATATTGAAAATTGGAGGTGGATGCATGTTCACTTTAAATACATGAAAATAGTTTTCAGTAAATGTGGTTATTTAAAACTAGAATTTGCCCAAAACCTATAATTCTCACAGTAACTGTTTATCTGTAAGTTTACAGACTTGTCTTTTATGTCCTCTTAGTGGTGTGTTTGGCCTGAGTATGCTTTCTCTTTCGTAAAGAAAAACTTTGCAAGAAAAACTCAGATCAAACCTCTGGTTATCAGCTGTAGTGAGAGTCAGAGCTGTAAGTGAGCAGACTCACAACTGATATGTGCTGTTTTCATAGGCTCTTGAAGCAATAGGCTGTTGGATTTTGAGCCCGCCCCGAGTACTTGAGTTTTTCTCTGCAAGGATATATAATAGCGGTAAGTTCTAGAAGCAGGCATTTCTTTTTGCTTTTTCCATTTAGCATGATGTACAGTTTGCCTTTTCACAGAATAGACCTACCAGCTTTTTTATTCTTCAACAGGTTTTGCCTGCCCACCTAAGAAAAAAAGGCAATGGAGACTGAACAACAGGAAGAGACCTTTGCCAACACAGAGACAAATGGTAAATTTTTTAAAGGCCCATTTGTTTTTAAAAAGAACATTTTTAAATTTCAATGTTACCAAATATTTTTTTAATGCTTAAACTGTATGAAATGCTTGTATCAGCAGTAGTTTTGTATCCTGCATTAAATCTTTTTGTTCCTAATAACACTATTGTTACACATGGTTTTGGAGCGTAAGTGAATAATTCTGTTGGTATGTTTTAAACGTGGAAAAAGTTATGACTGAGGATTTGAAAATATTTCATACTTAAATATTCATTACTTGTGTGGAGAGTGTGAATATGTAGAAATGCTATCAGGCATATCCATTAATTGCATTTTGTTTATTGCATATTTTACATGCAGGAGTATAAATATGTTAAATATCTCTAAAAAGCTTAATGAAAAATTTCTTGGGCATAAATAGTGAGGAGATCAGGGCATTAGTGTTGTTGATTCGTGCTGGTTCTTCTTTTCCAAACAGTATTTGAAGTGCTACTTTACTATTATTCTGCTAGCATTTCAGTGTTGGACAAACTGCATTTGAGCTTTTTGCCTGAAAGGTTTTTCACATTTATAAATTATAAATAAATACTAAGTGGGTGATGCTGCACCACTTGAAACAGCATGTCATGACTGTGTGCAACATTCTCATGTAAACTACAGTTCATAGTTTTTAGAATGGATTTTCAGTACTTAGTACGTAAGCTGATGAAGTAAAGACCCATTTCAATGCTATGGATGCTGGGAGTAGGCGTCAATAATTTGTGTTGAGCTAATAGGAAAAAAAATGAAGAATACAGAGCATAAATTTGACGTGTTCAATTTTTTATGACTTAGAAAGTTAAATAAATGTTTGTGTTTCCCCCCTATGGACCTCTCTACAGGCAAACGTCCTGCAGAAGATATGGAGGAAGAGCAGGCCTTCAAAAGATCTCGGAACACAGATGAGATGGTTGAATTACGCATCTTGCTTCAGAGCAAGGTGTGCCTGTTTGTTTTTTACTGGTTTTGCTTATAGTATTGCTCAAGACAGTGGTGACAAAGTGTATGTTGAGATACATATTTAGGAGGAATGTGTACTTTAATATGAAATAACTTACTAAGAATAATTTCAAATGTGCGTGAATGGTAGTAAAAGTTTATTGCAATGGAAATACCTTCAGTGGTTTTTTTAAAGGGTAAGTCCCTAAGGATCAATCCAGTCATTTTTAAAAGATGCACTTCTTGAAAAAAATAACAGAGCAGTAGAAATTATAAGGTCTTTTTCCATTTGAGTGAAAGGTTGTTATTTTGTGGGGAATTACCATATATTAATCTTTGGAAAGGAAGCAGTTTAGAGAATGATCAGCTAGTGATTGTAAGTTAAGTATGAGAGGTAAGGTGAGAACTTCCTTGGGATTTTAGTAAGTCTCCCAAATAGATTTACTAAACTTGTTCAAATATATCAACAGGAAGAAATATGGGAGGAATGCTTCAGGGGTTGCAATGGTTTTGTTGATGAGTGTAGATAGTTACAGTAAAGTTGCTATGTATTATTTTCCTCTGGTGTTTCCAGTCGTTACAGATTATTTGTACTTTCTGAAGTACCTCAGTCTTCTGTGTTGGCATGGGGAGTTGTTAACTTAACTCTGCGTGGTATTTCTGACTAATAGTCAAGTTACACGGGGTACCACAAAATGTTTTGTATGCTGTTAGCGTAATGTATGATCTGTGTAATAAAAGCAATATGTTTGCATGTTATCCTTGAAATTACCTGGTAAAAATACAGTTTTGCACTTACTCTTCTTGACTATCTGCCAGTTTATTCCTGTTGATGGTAGAAGCTTGAAGTTAGTGGATGGTAGCATTGGCTTCAACCTTTTTCAAAATATACTGCTCTGAGAAGCCAGTTAAGTTACAGAGGTATAAACCAAACTTAGCACCTGAAATCATCAAGAAATGTTTGGAGTGCAAAAGTGGAATTTGCAAGCGTGTTCCTTAAAAAGAAGAAAAAATCTGATCAAATAAATTCAGGAAGTCATTGACCTTCATTACATTGATACACTGTATTTTTTGAGAGCCATAGTCTACGAGGCTGCTTTAACACAGGCAGAATTGCCTAGAAACTTCAATTTGGAATTACTAGTTGCAAAACTGAATGTCTAATTCTTTGCTAAGTTCAGTGGTAAGAGCTGTCGATCATTTTTTCCATTGACAAACTATATTATTTTCATTCAATTTGATGTGAACTTTTGAAAAGCAATGCGCACCTGCCCCCACCCCCTGGACCAACAGGGTAGTTCAAAAATAGATTTACCATTCTTAGTCTTGAGTTCAAAAATGTAGTCTGTGCTGTGTTGGTGTAACATAACTTCTGAAAACTGTTTTCCAGAATGCTGGAGCAGTGATTGGAAAGGGTGGCAAAAATATTAAGGCACTTCGTACAGACGTGAGTATATATGAGTTTGAACTAATTTAACACCAATTCTTTCAGAGCACTACATCGAAAGCTTGATTGCGTGCATTTCTAGAAATGGGAGCAATTCAACTCTAGACATCAATACTCTAGTTACAAGCCATTTGTAATGATTGCTAGAGTAGATAACTTAGTTCTTCAGTTTCTACTGTAATTAAAACCCAGCTTGACTCACATGGGAGGAGAGGTTTATATTAAATCTCTTGATTCCACTAAATTACACACTTCAAGTGAGTTAACATCCTAATTAGAAATATTGACAAAGCTTAAAACCCTTAATTGTACCATTTCCCATATGTGTGAATCAATTATAGTACTACTGAAACCATTGCAGGTGGCTGGCTTAACCCAGTGATAGAGGAAAAATTCTTTAACTTCCTTTAAAAAAGCAAACAAAACAGTCCATCTGTTCTTTTAACAGCTTGCACATGAAGCACAAAAGCATTAATGTTAAGGTTCCTTTATATAAATACAGGTATAGAGCAGTAAAGGAACATTCTGCTCTGTTACTAGGAAACATTTTAAAATGGTCATGACTTACTTGCATATTCACGTTTTACAGTGGGTTGACTCGTGATTAGACACGTGTTCGGCATTAATGTTGTGTATTTATAAAACTTGGCAACGCTTCTTAAATTCCGTTTGTTTACACTCCTGTACTTAACATCAGCTACAATTTCAACAGTTTTTCCAATCAAGACTCTGTTCAACACAAGATTTGGCACTGTATCATTACAAATCAGTTCCAACTAAGTTCATAAACTACTGCAACTAGAATTGAGGTTTAAGTTGAAATGGTCAGGAATCATATGTATGCTCACTAACTTTGGCAGCTAGTTGTCTCTTTTTTCCAGGGTGTTTTTTGTGGTGGGTTGTTTTTTTTTTTTTAATTTTTTAAGTAAATCAATACGTCACCTAAGTCCAGATAACTTTGATTGGTCTGGAAAACTAACTTTCCCGATTTGCCCATGGTTCTAGTAATACCAATCTCAACAGGTTTTGTGTCTACCCTCATTAGCCAGCCTGCTACTGAAACATCGTATGTTAAAAATAAAAGGTAGCTTAGACAGATCAGGTGACTCATTTTTAAGGTCCATACTGTTCAGGCACAGCCGGTGTAGCAATCCGTTATTGTGTTAGTCTTCAGAACAACTTAAGCTTGTTTCATTAATTGAGAGTAATGAGTATAGTTTGTATTAAATTAAAATTTATTGCTTTTCCCCCTTTTCCCTCTCCTTGTTTTTTTGGCCATATATCTCCGTTGCCCATGTACTGGATCGACTTGCCCCTGCGTTGCCCACCATGACGTTGGCCCATCCGCCCCTGAACGCCCATGTGAAAACCCTGGTTGGCTATGCCCAAAAATGTGCTCGTTGCCAAACGGGTACCATACTTGACAACTTCCGATTGAATACCCATGCCCAATGCCAACATCCACGAACGCCAATGACCAATGCAGTACAATGCCAGTGTTTCAGTCCCAGACAGCAGTGGCCCCGAGCGGTATGTCCCAACAGTTTATGCCTCACTGCCTGATTAGAAAGAGAGAAATGTATTTTATTACCTGCCTTTGATATAATTAAATAGTATCCCCTTATAGACGGTGTATTGTTTTTTTTCAAGTTTTCTGTCTTATTTTCCCCATTAAGTCTTTTTGTCACTGAACTTTTACGTGAGTTGCCCACCCAAACAATCCACTAATTTTATTTCAATGGAAGGAGCACAGCTTCAAGTGTTGCATATTTGCTGCATTGTAAATCAAATTGTTTCAAAATAGTCTCTCGCTCTGTCTTTGTGGCCCACCTTGCTCCCTTCAACATTGCCTGTTCATAATTATTTCTGATGAAATGCTAACTCTAGTTCACTTTCCTTCACTTTCATTTGTTTTGTCTTTTTTCGTCTTGCATTTGTATTTGTTTTCTTGGAGAGCCCATTAGTAATCTGATTTCTAACTGGTCTCATAACTACTCCAGATACAATGTTCACCACTTACATATCCCCACTTTTTCTATGAGAAGGTGTGCCAGTTTTACCTATGTAATAGCGAGGGTATCCTAAATTTTAGTGGTGGCGGGGAACATGAATATTCACTTCTACTTTCCGTTCTGCGTCAATTTCTTGCCCACTTAATCTGAGCCCTTCCAAAAGACCATTCTGTCTTTCTTTCTCTTTCTCTGCAAGACCTACCTAATCTTAAATCTATCCTGCATATATATTGGGCATAAACAAAGATGCATGTGTTGTAAATTGAGCAAACAGGTTTACTTTAAACGGGGAGTGTTAATTGTAAGCTCTTCTGTGTAGTAAATCCTCTTAGAATTTTCTGTATGATGATGAAAAAAATTTACTTCTTTTCCACCTTCTCCGTATTGTCTGGCATTATGGCCTCCAACAGCATCTTGAGTATAAGTGCAGATATCGAGACAATTGGAGAAATCTTGAAGAAGATTATCCCTACTTTAGAAGAGGTATGTCTCTTGACGTTTTGTTTCCTGTTAGAGGTAAAAAGTTAGCTTTTGAAACAAGATTATTCTACATGATTTTTTAAATACAGTAAATCAGACTGTAAAAAACAAAAGCCTTCTAAAGAAAGGTTATGGCTCTCAAACTACATGTTGGGATTTTTTTGGTAGAGGACAATCTGTTACTATTTATTAAATTAGTGTTTTGAACAGCCTCCTCCCTTTCAAAATACTTGCCTCCTGACTTGTTTTGTCCCCATTTTGAAGTAGTTGTAACTTGTATCCTGTGTTCGCTTTGTAAGTTAAGAGTGTTGCGCTGTTTGATAATTTCTTAAATCTTTGTAGAAAGTTGTGCAATGTCATGTAATAATCTGAGGTCAAAACAATTTTCCTTATTTATATTGAGGTGAGGTGTTTCAATAGTTGTGATCCTATCAAAGGAGATACAGGATTACAGTTCAGCAATAAGGCAAGTCCTACCATTGTGTTTGGAGAGAAAATAAAACCCCAAATATTTTAAATTTTTAGGTGATTAATATTTTATTCTTGTATCATCTTTCTTACAGTATCAACACTACAAGGGCAGCGACTTTGACTGCGAATTAAGACTTCTCATTCACCAGAGTTTGGCAGGGGGAATTATTGGTGTCAAGGGTGCTAAAATTAAAGAACTCAGAGAGGTACTTGCTTCCTGTTATTCTGAGATTTGGGTTTTGTTCAATAAAGAACTTAGTGATTTGTGTTCATAAGGGGAAAGTGTAAGTATTGTATGTGCGGTAATTCCTTCAAAACATCCTGCGTACATGGTTTTGATGTTCTGAGATTAATCTGTGAGTTGCAGCTTTCTTGCAAATCCTCAGAAGTAAAGTAATTTGTGATAGAGCCTAGGACTTCTTACCAAGCTTCTAGACCATAGTCATGGTAGAATAAGAGAGGATTTTTTTTTTTTTTTAATGGCATTCATCACTCCTTCTAGAATGAGCTGCTACATGGGTAGACTAGATTTATTCATGTGGTTAGACATGCAGAGTGGTTTAAGGTGAATATGTCTCCACAAACTCTGATGATGATAATTCAGTAGTGTCTGAATTTTACTGTAAAAGGTGTTTATTTTTATAATTTTTTGGTTCTACCTTCTAGAAGACCATTGGTTTTTTTTCAGTGAAGGAGTGAGATTTTTAAAAGCTAATGGTGTCTATGAATTCAAGACACCTCTGTTTTCTGTCCTTTCTTGGCAGTGTGTCACTTTCAGGTCAGTTCAGGTATAAGCTCGTACCTGTTTGCATGAGTTGGGAAAGGCAAGGTAACTAGACATAAACCTGGCAACATCGCTGTCTTGTGTCCAAAGCGTGTTTTCTTGATGTGAAGGTTAATACAACCTGTAAACTCACAATGTGTGGTCCTTTTGCTAGTATTTAATTAAATGATGGTGTAGACAAGCCATAATTGAAAGAGGAGAAAAATTGAACTTTTTTCTTCTTTTGTACAAGACTTTAAAAAAACATAATCCTAAACTTAAATTTGTTGTGAGAACTTGAAAGCAAGAGTGCAAATGGCTGGGAACTTAATTGTCTTTTGGATTGTTTTGGGGTTTTTTTATTTTTTAGTGGGTCTATAAAGTTGTTTAAAATACTTGCTAGACAATCATGGTTCTTTCGTTTTTTCTTCAACAGAACACTCAGACCACCATTAAGCTTTTCCAAGAGTGTTGTCCTCATTCTACTGACAGAGTGGTGCTTATTGGTGGAAAGCCTGATAGAGTGGTTGAATGTATCAAGATTATCTTGGATCTTATATCTGAGGTAATGTATATCAAATTTATTTTATTCTCTGATTGGCATTCGTGAATGTTAGGGATCATTTGGGCGAAAAACGGGTATCTTTCAGTTTCTGTTTTGAACTCAGTACTTCCTGCTTTCCCATTAACAAAGTGATTTACTGTTACTAACTTTTGGAACTCTTTCCATTTTCTAGAATTGGGGTGCACCTTATGGGGGAGGAGGGAAGTAATTTTTGGTACCAGTGGGCTGTAATTCATGCTTTGCCTGTCATGAAGATGCAAAGTTGTAGAGGCAGGGAGACAAAATTTATTTGTCACTGATAAGTAACAGCAGTTTCTCCATCATAGTTTAGTTCCCAGGAAACACATCACTATCTCCCACATTGTGAAATCAAGAACATGTTCCAAATGCATAAATTCATAATTATACATTTAATATATTAATTTGATTAAATACACCAATAGTAAATACGCTAATTGAGTCGGGGGGGATTGTTTTTTTGTTTGTTTCAGTCTCCAATTAAAGGACGGGCCCAGCCTTATGATCCGAATTTCTATGATGAAACATATGACTATGGTGGCTTCACAATGATGTTTGATGATAGAAGGGGACGTCCAGTAGGCTTTCCAATGCGTGGAAGAGGAGGTTTTGATCGAATGCCCCCTGGTCGTGGTGGACGACCTATGCCTCCATCAAGAAGAGATTATGATGATATGAGCCCTCGCAGAGGACCTCCACCACCTCCACCAGGTCGTGGGGGTAGAGGTGGCAGCAGAGCTCGTAATCTTCCACTTCCTCCTCCACCACCTCCTCGTGGCGGGTGAGTTGTTGCATAAATGCATTATACAAAACTGGCATTATGTACAATCTCCTGAATCATCATGTTTATCTTTCCAGAGTCTTTTCCACACTTCAGTGTTGGTAGTGATTATGCAGGGCTGTGTATTGAACCAGAGTATTTTGAAAAGTACTGGATTTTAGTTATTTGCTGCACTGTAGTAATCTACCAGGACTGTAGTCAGTAGTTATGAAATTCTTACGGCATTCAGTACTTGGCTAGAGTAGTTTGAAATTAAGTTGTGTGTGAACCATGAATGTGAAGATTTAATTTGGAATAGATAATCTAGTTTATAAGGCAATTCACGTGCTGCTGCTTTTTTCATTTCAGAGATCTTATGTCCTATGACCGAAGGGGCAGACCGGGAGACCGTTACGATGGCATGGTACGAGTTTAAAATTTGCCTTGTTGTGTTTCATAAGCACAGTTAGCATGCTCCCTGTCTGCAGATATTGTTGCTGAACACATGCACCTTAAGTGTGGGAACAAAATGTTTTGTTCATACAAATGGTGCCTCATGTGGAAGAATGGGGTGCAAGTGGTGTCTGAGACTTGTACCTGTTTTATTTCTTTTCCTGTCTGCCATCAAAAATGATATAGAAAGTTTGACTTTGCTCTGCCATGCAAGTTTTCTTGCACTGACCATCTTTCAGATTTTTTAATTGGGATGACAGAACTAGGAATTGGTAGGCTCTTTAGGTAAATAAAATGTATCAGAACAGTGTTCTCTGAAATTCGGTGATTCATACAAGCATTCTTAACACTGATGTTGGAAAACACGAGTATAGATAGAATAAAACAGAGTTTGCAATAGTATCTGGGGAGAACTCTAGTCAATCTGGAGAGTGGTTGCTTTTTCAGTTATTGTTTGTTTGCTGGTTTCTCTACAAAAAATACACTGTAATTCTAAATGTTTTGGAGCTAGGGCAACTACTAAGTTGAATCCTAAATTAAATTAGGTGAATTCAATCATATTAATGCTAATACTTGCTGAGGAAAAAAATTTCTCATAGTATATGGAAGCTTAAAAAAAGACTTAAAGATATTCTTCCATGTTCTCTTCTGAAATGTGACTTCCCAGCAGTCATCTGCTGTTGTATTAGATTACTCTTTCCTGGGAAGAGAAATCATATGTGTCTGGGAGGTGAATATCTGTAGTAACAATGTGCTTTCCCCCTCCATCTTTGGTTGGCACCTTTAAGATGACAGGGAAGACAAGATTTTTTTTTTCATTTAAGTGAATGGAAAAAGAGTGGAGAAGAGCTATGAAATGGGCTACTAAATGTGCTTTACACATTTCCTCCTTTTTGGGAGTAAGAGTTACTGGAAGTACATATTGTAAGAATGTCACATGTTTACTAGAAATATTAAAAGGAAAGATTTGCACATCATTACAAAAAAAAGTGTTACCCATGATACTCTACATGTTAAGAAACTGTAAGCATTGAGAAATACATCCGCAAGATTCCTTTTTATGTGTTCTCAAAGCTCAGTTTTTGTGTTCTTACATTTGCAACTAATAAAGCCAGTGCTAGAGCATATAAACTGAGCAGCCTGCCCTTCTCTGGGTATCTGGTTGAGCATGGTCTTACTGAGCTTGACTCCTGGGCAGTACTGTGTTCTATTTTTATTCCATTCCAGCTAGAATAGAAAATCTGTGCAGCCTGACTTTTGTCCGGTTGACCTTTGCTTTCTTGACAGGAGTTTCTACAAGTGGAGGCATCTCTCTTCATTTTTTCCTTCCAAAAAGCAATTTTATTTCCTTTTCACAGTGAAGCTGCTCATGACTTTGGCACCTTTATGGCCAAGTGTCATAACCTGCTTAAAGTGTGGACTGCTTCCCGAAAAAGACTGTATTTAGTTTTAGTTAACCATGATCGTAGTATCCTACATTGTGTAAGCAGGTAGGAAGTCTTCACATGGATTGTGAGGCTGGAGCTGGAAATGTCATGCCAGAAATGTCAGGTCTTCCTATGCTACCATTCGTTTCATATAGAAACTGTTTTCTAGCAAAGCATTTAAGCTGGAGTAAACCAACATCATTTTAGTTTGTGAACTAGGTAATACATGGGAAAGGCTTCTCTCAAAGAGCTCTTTCACACAGATTCTCTTTTACATAGCTGCAATAAAAGGCAAGAATAGATGCTTTTCTCAGATGCACGTGTCGAAAATCATGGAAATGTTGAATGTACAGATTTTTTTTTCAGTTCTCTTTTCCACTAAAGGCAGAACGATTGAGTGGTTCAGAACCCAACTGGATGCTGAAATATTATTTTTCTGGAATTCCAGAGATATGACAGTATTAACAGTCTTGTAAATGCTGAGATGAGAAAAAGCTGTTTTGATTTTAAAAGACAGGTTGATTCCTCTTGCCCATGTAGCATCACCCACTTAAGAAGATAATTTGGTAGCCTGGCTTGGAGTTTTAGTTTAATTCTGCACTGCTGTTGAAAAAATACATTTGTTTTATAATCCCTGTTCTGAAGCTTCTTCCTGAAGGACAGACTTGTATTGTTTCTCTCTTAACAGAGCTATATAATTCAGTGTGTAAATACCTCCAAATCAAATGCCTGTGGACCACAAGGGCTATTCTGACAGTTGAAAAAAACCTGAATGAATTTCCAGTATTTATTTTTTAACACCTTCATTGTCAGGGGTGTTTCAGATACATAAATGCACATAAATACCAGTGGGAGGGGTGGAAAATAAAGTGGACAAACATATAAAGTAATTTTATCCCCTCACTTCTTTTTCAATTAAATGATCAGGTACTATAATTTTCAAAGTCCTAAAAATGTTAATTTGGATTAATAGAGACGTAAATCAGGGTGTCTCCTTTTAAGTGGACTGTCTTTTTACAGACATCTGTGAGTGTCCACAGACTCCTCATGTGCTTTTGCTCCTTCAAATGCTTCCTAATTCTTGATCTTTTTTTAGACTTATATAAGGATGTGTACATACATGTTTCTTGTTTCTTATATATTTGTACGTACGTGTATAAAAAGTTGAATAAAGGCACAAGCACTTAAATTACAAAACATTCTTCATGTTTACAAGATATGACATTAATAAGCATGTGAAAAAAATCAAGAATGTGTGACAGCTCTTCTATTTATCCATTTAGATAGTGGAAGAAAGTGACAAAATTTCACTCTTCTAGGTCACTCGTTAAAAATAGAGAAAATTATGAAAAAATAACTTGACATCAGTTAGGATTGCATCCATTTTATTTCATTAGATGTAAAAGTTAAGCACTTTGCCTTATCCAGCCAGCCCATCATCTGGTTTCTGTTCTAGTACCAGTAATCACTAGCACAAATGAGTCTGTAGAGTAGAATATTTTGTTGCATATGTTAAGATACCCTGTTTGATGAAGCTGATTTTAGAGTGGACAAATAAACATCAATTGCTGCAACTGTAGAATTCTGAAAGAAAATGTTTTATATCATATGTTTTAAAAACATAATAAAATTTCTAATATAGTTAGGCAGCAGTAGATTGTTAGTCTAGTTATTGGCTATATGAGGTGTATATGGAAATGAATTGGTAGAACATGAGAAGCAGTGTCCTTCCTGCTTGACCTGCTGTTGGCATAGAGATAATCACTGTCAGTTACTTGTTTCAGTCTTAAACTTTCATTTTCTAACACATATCAGAAATAAAAGATTTTTTTAATAGATGGCAGAAATAAAGGCTTTTGATATAGAATAGCACTTGAAGGTGTTGTAAAAGAAAAAAAAAAAAAAAGCTTGTTCAAGCTTTGCTCTGCCATTAGCTGTCTGGCCACCTTTGTTACAGGAAAAAAGCTGTTTATACCACAGAAAGGGGAAAAAAAAGAGTGTGACCACTTACCATTCCCTCAAAGTGACATAAAAAGGAGCAAGTCTTGAAGGCAGTGTAAATCATGTACTTCTAAGTCTTTTCTGTAGTACAATGTTTTTGTTTACCCCTATGTATTGTATTTGCTTGCCAAGTTACTTGTAAGTCTGGATGACATGGACTTAATTTAGATTTCTTTACTCTTTCTCCTATTATATTGTGTCTGGAAGATGATGCAGTGTCATGTGGATGCCTGTGATGACATGCAGCCACCGGAGTTGGTGAGTGCACTCAACCTTCTTTTGAAAACTGCTTTATTGAACAGGTTAAGTAATAACAGGAATTTCTTGATCTTGAGTGTAAAAACTGGCAACTTGCACCTGTTGAAAATCAACTGCCCTTCTGGCTTGGGATCTAGTGGCAGTTTGCCTTAATAGTGTGTCCTGTGGAGGCAGATAAGTTAATAGAAATGTGGAAGTATGGAGCGGCACAGCCAAGAGAGGAGCTTCTCTGTAGCTCTTTTTGCCTCTTCTACACCCCATTTTCATGTTGTAACTGTTGCGCTGCAGGTGAATGCATTTAGGATATATATTTTGTATTAGCTTCATAATGTTGTCATATTTCAAACAGCGAATATTAAAAGTAGCTTCTTACTTACATTTTTGGATAAATTACTATGCTTTACTTACAATGCATTTGAAGATACACCATTTGATCAGATAAGTTTTGGAAAAGGAAGTTAATGGGGTTCATCAGGTGTTCATGCTGTCTAGAAGATGGCAAAGTCCTGACAAATATTAAATGTCAGTTCTTACCTTACATAAACACAGCAAATGGAACTGCTTAACTCATCTGCTGTCTCAAGTTTATTTGCTGTCCTGTAGTCTGGGGAGACAAAAACGATCATGGAAAGTATTGTTTTTTTAAAATGGATTAGCCCAAAAAGGGATCCCATGGCAAATAGCAGCAGTAATATGTCAGTGTGTGTGCAGGATGCTGCTCTGATGAGCCTCTGAATTCAGTCTTAAGCAGAGTCCTTCATTCTCTTTTTTTTTGGACTCTGCTACAGGCTCTATTTTGTTGTATTACAATTTGTATTGCTAAGTAACGTGATTATGCAATATAGGTTGCTTAAAGACAGGATAAGCTCAACTCTTTGATCTGAGTAACTTCCATTTTAATCTTCTAAAAAGGTAGCAGGTAAATAGTATTTTGGCGAAAATGTTGCATTGCCACTTCTGCAAACAAGTAGTTGTGGTTGGTTGAACTTGGCTGGCTGTCAGGTGCCCACTCAGCTGCTCTCTCACTCCCCTTCCTCAGCAGGATGAGGGGAGAAAGTAAGATGGAAGAGCTTGTGGTTCAAGATAAAGGCAAGGAGATCACTTATTAATTAGCTTCATGGGCAAAACAAAGATTATTTGGGCTAGATTAATTTATTGCTACCTAAAAATAGAGTAGCATGGTAAGAAACAAAGAGCAAAACTAAAAAAAAAAAAACACCTAAAACCAGCTTTTGCTCCACCCTTCACTTTTTCTCAGGCTCAACTTCACTCCTTCATTCACAACTCTACTTCCTATGCCGTGACTGTTG